AATGTTACATTCCACTAGCTTTATTACATCAGTTATTAAAATATTATAAAATTAAATTATTAGTTTATTATATTCTTAAATGCAGGCTTGCAACTTTGTACGTACGCCACAGAATTAAGTAGTGTAGTGGCCCTAGAGCAGCCGATTACGGTACGACAGGCGTTATACAGTTAGCGCGTGTCCTAGTTGTTTGGATTCAGTGTTCGCTCCTGCCGTTGTATTAGGCAGGACGGTGATGTCCCTTAGCGGATAACAGGTAGCACCAGCTGAACAGAACATAGTGAGATTCGGTTAACTGTACGGTTATAGCTTTATTGATTCCTACCAGTTCACAAATAATTCCTCTGCATTCGTATATGCAGCAGATCCTATCACCACTAGATTAATATTGAAGTACTAACGCGTCGCCGGTTTCGTCTTCCCCTCTCACGTTCGTCCTTTCCTCGCGTAGACCTAGGCAGTCTCCAGGGGCGTCTCCCTCGTAGTCGCTTCTGGCTCTACCTTACCGGAATCCGTCTTCTCCGTCCTCGTTTTATTCCCCTCTCCCGTTCGTCTCCGGTTTTCACCTACCTGAAAAACCTGTGCCTCTATCCTCTCTCTACAACGCTTCCTCACTCTCTCTCTCTCTTCTTCTTCTTCTCCTTCTTCTCCCTCTTCCTTTTTCTTCTTTCTACCTGTACCTGAAAAATAACGCTCCCGCTGCTCGGTTCGGTGCGTCTTATATACCTAGCTGGCAACGCCCCCCTACGTGCCGTTGTTTCGTTCGCCGGTGCAATCGTTTTCAATCCGTGGCTGGTACGGATTGTTGCATCATCTTACGCAACCCGTGCCTGGTACGATGGTTGCATCATCCTATGCAACTCGTTTCTAAGTAAATATTCCTCTCTTCGACAACTTAGACTATTCATTCTATTCAAATCTCCTCATATATTATGCTGACAAATAGTACATAACCGCGTCGATTATTATATTCTATTTACCGCGTTTATCGCCTTTCGCGTAAACCCTCCTTGTTTTCCCCGACCATAGCAGTAGCAGTGATAGCATGATTCAAGATGGCCGCGCCCAGGGGTGTTGATATTTATGTGCTGTCTATATTTAATCCTCTCTTTAGTCAATATAAGTAGTGTTAAGCGAGAATGGAACTTGTGGCTAATCTCGAGAATGACTGAGCGATTTTTTTACTGTTTTATAATCTCCAATTTCTAGAATATCGTCCATATAATCATTGTCATCTTCTAAAACTACAGACCATCCGCTGACCGCTGTGGAGACGTGCGTTACTACCTTTATTACTGTTGCCGATTACTAACTATTACTGTTATTAAATTATTAACTATTAACCGATTACTATTACTGATTACCTTTATTATCTAGACAAAAATACATTGGAACATCGCTAAAATTGTCTCCGTCGTTCACAACGTACGCCCACATTTTTCCTCGGTCCCGAGTAGATTGCAGGAGTAGTGTAATGCGGTGAAACTATTTAACATATCTATTATTAACTGTTAACCGATTACTATTACTGATTACCTTTACCATCTATTACATTAGGACATTAATTGCTAAAATTCGGTCTCAATCATTCGCAACGTATGCCCGTAGTTTTACCTCGGTTCGAAGTCGATTACAGGTGTAGATCAACTCGGTGATACGCCCCCTTTCTTCCGGCTCGGCGTCGGCCTCCACTAGCAGGCGCACGATGTCCAGTTGCATGTAGCAAACCGCGATGTGCAAGGAGGTCACTCCTTGCCAGTCCACGGCGTTGGCGTCGGCGCCGTGTGAGAGCAGTATCCGCACCGCCGCCTCCTCGCCCTCCGTCACCGCCCACATCAGCGGCGTTTTCCCGGTCTGCGTCTCGGCGGCGTTTGGATCTGCACCGGCCTCCAGTAGCAGGCGCATGATGTCCAGCTGGCCATCGCAAGCTGCTTGGTACAGGGAGGTCTGTCCTTGCCAGTCCACGGCGTTGGCGTCGGCGCCGTGTGAGAGCAGCATCCGCACCAACTCCTCCTCGCCCTCCCTCACCGCCCTCATCAGCGGCGTCTTCCCGGTCTGCGTCTCGGCGGCGTTTGGATCTGCACCGGCCTCCAGTAGCAGGCACATGATGTCCAGCTGGCAATCGCAAGCCGCGTGGTAAAGGGAGGTCCGTCCGTACAAATCCGCGGCGTTGGCGTCGACGCCGGACTCCAGTAGCAGGCACACGATGTCCAGCCGGCCAAAGCAAGCCGCGCGGTACAGGGAGGTCTGTCGGTACGAGTCCGCGGCGTTTGGATCCGCGCCGGCCTCCAGTAGCAGGCGCATTATGCCCAGCTGGCCAAAGCGAGCCGCGTGGTACAGGGAGGTCTGTCCTTGCAAGTCCGCGACGTTGGCGTCGGCGCCGTGTGAGAGCAGCATCTGCACCACCGCGTCCTTGCCGTATCTCATCGCCATCATCAGCGGCGTCTTCCCGCTCTTCTTCTTGGCGACGTTTGGATCCGCGCCGGCCTCCAGTAGCAGGCGCATTATGTCCAGCTGGCCAAAGCGAGTCGCGATGTGCAAGGAGGCCACTCCGTACGAGTCCGCGGCGTTGGCGTCGGCGCCGGCCTCCAGTAGCAGGCGCATGATGTCCAGCTTGCCATAGCAAGCCGCGTGGTACAGGGTGGTCCGTCCGTACGAGTCCGCAGCGTTGGGGTCAGCGCCGTGTGAGAGCAGCATCCGCACCGCCGCCTCCCCGCCCTCCGGCACCGCCATCATCAGCGGCGTCTTCAAGGTCCGCGTCTCGGCGACGTTTGGATCTACACAGGCCTCCAGTAGCAGGCGCATGATGTCCAGCCTGCCAGAGCGAGCCGCGTGGTACAGGGAGTTCCTTCCGTGCGAGACCGCGGCGTTGGCTTCGGCGCCGCCCTCCAGTAGCAGGCGCATGATGTCCAGCTGGCCATAGTAAACCGCGTGGTACAGGGAGTTCTGTCCGTACAAGTCCGCGGCGTTGGCGTCGGCGCCGTGTGAGAGCAGCATCTGCACCGCCGCCTCCGCGCCCTGCCTCACCGCCTTCATGAGCGGCGTCTCCCCGCTCTTCTTCTTGGCGACGTTGGCGTCGGCGCCGGCCTCCAGTAGCAGGCGCATGATGTCCAGCCGGCTAAAGCGAGCCGCGTGGTACAGGGTGGTCTGTCCGTACGAGTCCGCGGCGTTGGCGTCGGCGCCTATTAGAGTAACACACAATAAAATGAGAAATCGTGATGAATAACATTTAAAATGTATATATCAATAGTAGCTACTGCATGTGTTATTTACAAAGCATATATATAGATGTTTTATACTTTGTCCATGCATTGCACTGTTCGACCAGGAATGGTAATTGTAACTGTAAGTAGTTTAATTAAGCCTAGCTATAGGCTATATATACATCTTGCCAAGAGTTAACACTAAATACTTATCTACAAGAGGAGCAATTAACGTACGTATACATGGGAAGGACTAATGCAGATTTTCCACCAAAATTCATTGTGTTCCGAAGTATTAGGTTTTGATGTTTCATGAGTAAAAACCAGGGCTCGAATTAACCGACGGCACGTCGGTGCCCCTATATCAATCGCCGTACTGCCCCTGAAAATCCAACCCGACCGACGGCAGTCACCTGCCTTGCCCTTTTGTGTAATTGCCGTCGGTGCCCTTTAATCTACTGCCCTAGTTTCGTTTTTAGTCGAGTCAAAATAACACGTGCGCGTGCGTGCTGTAGTTGCAATGATGAGCTTAAAACCGATATAGCCGCAGGAGGGAATAATAACAGCATCGGATAATTATTCGCTCCTGATAGCGCGGGCATGTAAAATTTCTTGTTACTGTACTTCCATTAGCAGAGGGGGGTACAGGGGTCGGTGTTACGGTACGTGTAAGCTTACATGGGGGAATAGTGTTTTGTACATTAAAAGCAAGACGATGTTGATGTAATAATTTGTTATGAGTTTTCCTTTATTTTACAAAAGTGCCTTTGTGCCCTTCTCAAATTGTGAGATTTGCCTTAATTGGTGCCTTTTAAAATTGCCTCTGTGCCCTTCCATTTTAGAGAAAATTCAAGGCGATTTCTCACATGCCCTAAAAAAATTGCCTTGCCCTTTTCGTAGCTTAATTCGAGCCCTGGTAAAAACACTAAAGTTAATTACGGCTCCTCAATATTCCTATACAAATTCATCAGAACCTTCAGGTCGATCACATGTTAAACCAAATCGAACCAAAATAAATCAAACCAGTATATACATGCATATATGGATTTACCTCATGCAGACAGGCACATTTGGTGATATGGCTGTCAACACCTTGTAACTTCACACGCTGTGTCAGGAATGGCTTTTCGAAGCTTGTGCAGGACTGGTATATGCACAGCAGATTCCACACTCGACCATGAAGTCCTATAGCTATACCAAACTATGACGAAAACATCCCGTGATAATCCGGATGACAAACGTACTAAGTCTGGTTGAACTGGAATCATTGTCACAGAGATGGACTAATAATAACTCCGCTTCGTTATCGTGTTCCGCTTGATATATCGGTCGTCGTTATAGGTTGGTAACAGGGAACTCCGTTGTGCAGCTGTTACGGCCGGCGATCCATAGATATTCAAACACATCTATGGGCGATCTAACCGCGCGCAGAAATAATTCATACGTGGCCGCGTTTCTGTTTCTGTTTCTGTTTATGTTTCTGATTTTCGGGGTGTTTCTGTTTCGCCTTATCGCTCCACGAAAGTATCAGTATCACATTGCGCTTGAGCTGACGTTAGACTGGTTCGCGGACCCACTGCTCTCGTGCCATCGTGCCGTGTAGCATAGCGAGCTTCTACGTGGCGCTGGCGGTGGGGACCAGTCTAGAGCTCACGTATGCTGTGGTTATCGCGTCCTCATGTTGTCATGTTGGCAATATAGCAACCAAGCGCATTACTACACGGATATATCATATACATACGCACATGCACGTACGCACGCGCGCACGCACACGCATAGGCACACGGCGCGCACACACGCACGTACGCGCGCACGCACACGCACACGCACAGCGCACGCACACACAGACTCACACGCACACGCACACGCATAGGCACACGGCGCGCGCACACGCACGTACGCACGCACACGCAGACGCACACGAACACAGCCACACACACGCGTGCACACGCGCACACGCATAGGCACACGGCGCACACACACGCGAAGGCACACGCACGCACACGCACACATACGCGCGCGCACGCACACGCACACGCATAGACACGGCGCGCACACACGCACACGCACAGATACGCGCGCGCGCACGCACACGTATAGGCATACGGCGCGCAGACACACGTACACACGTACACACACGCGTGCACACGTGCACACGCGCACACGCATGGGCACACGGCGCGCACACACGTACACATACGCGCGCACACGCATAGGCATACGGCGCGCAGACACACACACGCACACATACGCGCGCACACGCACACGCATAGGCATACGGCGCGCAAACACACGCACACACACGCGTGCACACGCGCACACGCATGGGCACACACGCACACATACGCGCGCGCACGCATAGGCATACGGCGCGCAGACACACGCACGCACACATACGCGCGCACACGCACACGCATAGGCATACGGCGCGCAAACACACACGCGTACACGCATAGGCACACGGCGCGCACACACGCACACGCACACATTCGCGCGCGCACGCACACGCATAGGCATACGGCGAGCACACGCGCGCGCGCACACGCAAACATACGCGTGCACACGCGCACACGCATACGCACACGGCGCGTACACACGCACACATACGCGCGCGCACGCACACGCATAGGCATACAGCGAGCACACACACGCGCGCACACGCACACGCACACGCACACGCACACGAACACGACCACATATACGCGCGCGCACGCACACGCATAGGCACACGGCGCGCACACACACACACGCGCACATACGCGTGCGCACGCACACGCATAGCCATATGGCGCGCAGACACACACATACGCGCGCGCACACGCACACGCATGATACATACGCACACGACCAATATGTGGTATAGCTCATTACATTATGTTTCACAGATGGGTATCCGTAGCCATAGATATCTATATCCGTATAGCCATCTCGGCTGCCCCGCGATTTGTTTTCGCAGCCGCGATTTGTTCTTGCAAACGAATTTCGAATGAAAACGAATTTCGAATAAAAATGTATTTGCAATGAAAATGAATTTGAAATGAAAATGAATTTGGAATGAAATGAATTTGAAATAAAAACGAATTCGGAATAAAACTGAATTTGGAATGAAAT